CTCTTTCTACGTAAGAGAGCAAACCCGGAAAAAGAAATGTATAGTAAACAAAAAAACAGCACAGAAAGAAACGTGTGGTTGCAACCCTTGACCGATGAGTTGATACGACCTGACCCATCATAACTCAACAAACGAATGGAGGGGGCAATAGCTAAAAGCTCCGGGGCGGTGCACAAAGAATGGTGAACTGATATGAAGAAGTGCAAAAGAAAGAGAGGGATTTTTTTTTTTTTTTTGTGGTCAGGGAATGAGAGCTTGGCCAAAAGAGGGTAGTAGTACTTATTTAGGAGGAGGAGAGCATGGATTGGAGGGCGAGCTGCTGCTGCGGTTGCAAGGATGAGAAAGATGACGCCAATGCAGAAGGTGGCAAAGTCTGCTGAAGCTGCCTCAGTATGTTTATCATCCGACAAGCTGTTTGTTCCGTCACAAGATCTTTCCCCGTAAGAACCTGTCAAACGAAATCCAATCTCCCTTTCACATTATACCCATTAAGCTAAATACATGATGCAAGGCCTGTGGAATCATGTTTGATCAAGGCACACACACGTGTATATGTTCCAAATTTTCTGCCAATTGTAAATGTGAGATTTACGCACCTCAGCAAAAACCGTGATGATTTTAGGAAGATTCTGTTTGTTGGGGCCCAAAAGATCCACATCTTGCCTGTGGGTGTTCAAAAACTTTTACAAGGAATGAAAATTTCCTAGGAAGCGTAAACCAATAGGGATAAGAGAGAAACTGCACTACCTCTCGACCATTGAGCAGAACTGATCATGAACAACTTTGGCTTCAATGACATCATTTCTTATAGGAAGACAATTCAACCAAGCAGGGATTACCTATCCAAATATATCCAAAGTAAATTTGTGTGTTCACCAGAAGAAGAAGACAAATGTTGGCAGCTATCATATATTTGATTTGACAAGAAACTAAAGATACTCAAAACTATGAGGAGGCATCATCAGCTCTTAATTGCCGTTCAAAAGGATAAACTATGGGCAACAAAGTAAAGCAGCTCTTAATTGTCAGTTGTACAAAGAACTAATTAAATCGATAAGATAAAAGATGGCGAAACGAAAATTTACGTACCTGAGTAACATCAATACTATCACGGTGAAACTGACAGATCTTTCCCACAGCAGAAACAGCATTATCATACGCCATACCATTTTCAGATTGTTGAGCATTTGGTTGCATTATCACAACATTTAATCTTGACAGAGCCTCTGTTAAAACAAAAGTCCATGTTATATCAATATACAATATATGTATAAACACCCTGAAAATGCCATCGTATAATATTTACCTCCAACAAGCGGCTTAAATACCGATCCACCGAACTCGGAACAAACACCAAGCCCATAAACGGCAGCCTGAAATAAATGAGAGTTCATTTCAGAAAGAAAAAAAAAAGACGAGAGCAAAGTCTAGAAGCACCAGATTTAACAGAGTGCAAAAGCAGAGGACCTGTCGGACATCTGGGCTTTCATCATTGCAAGCTTCAAGTACAAATGGAAGATAAGTATCGTAGTATCTTCCAAACACAACAAAAGGATGCATAAGCACATTTAATAGCTATAAACTGAAAGATATAACGATATTGCATATAGTTATTACTTAAGGGCAGCATCACAGCATTGTTCTGCAACATCATCGAATATGCATATAGCAATCCTTCTCTCTTCAGCTGTTTTATCCCTTCCCTGTATTCAATTGATCGGCGTCCCCAAAAGTAAGCAAATAATCAAGGTAAAAGAGAAACCTCAAGCAAAATAAGATAAGATTGTATCACTTCATAACTCCTGCTGACACGTCAATAACTAATATTGACCTGAAACAGAGCACTAGACTATTTCATCAAATGTTCTCTCGTTTTTCCATCACCATACTCTTCTGCTACATTGATACAATCAACTATACGAGCAGATTATAATTATATGCTCCATGATACGAAGGGATTCAGACGGGGCTTTATAATAGAAGATAAAAAAAGCAGTGATTCAATAATAAAAAAGATACGATTTCTGATTATATAACATTTCCACCCGATCTCAAGTAGAAGACTGCAAGGATAGTTACTTACCCACATAGGAGTTAGATAAGAAGATAGCTCCTCAAAGTAAGGTAAGAACGAGCCTTTAAATGTCTTCACAAGTGTTCCCAATATTTCACCGACCTGAAAACGGCATCAGCAGTACGAGCCAACAAAAACAGTATAAATACAATGCAACCTCCAATCAGAAAGGAAACATGAAAGAATACTAACTTGATCAAAAACTTCTTCTTCTTGCTCATTCTCCTCTTTAATAAGCTCCCCCTCTTCGGCATCAAAATCTTCAGCATTAGCCCTCTCTCCTCTCTCTCGTTTTCTGCTAGAGCTTGCTGTCATAACTTGTTTTATCTCATCGACAATGGATCTAATCTTCCCCTCGTCCAAAAGATTTCCAGAAATCTGGAATAAAAAGAAAAATGTTGAGAATACAACTGTTTCGAAGGAAGATCAGAATTGAAAATACCCAAAGACTTAAACAAGAAGAGCAATTTGTCAAACAATTACAAAATCGCCGGATGATACATCAAACCATTCATGTTACATGACTTTTAGTTGTAATGCAACCACATGAATAGTCTAAGATAATAAGAGAAGCTAGCAGGACTGCCAAGGAAAATGCAGCATCCCCAAAATTTCTTTGCGAAGGAAAGGAAACTGAAGACCAAGTTGAAGTCTAGATTTGGTAGTTGATCTTAAACACATCACAGGTAAAGTTAGACATATAGCTCGAATAATGAGCCGACAGTAAAGTATTACAATCAAGAGTTCGTATGCCACTGATCCATTTAGGAATCTAAATCATGAGCCCTGGACAAAGATCCTTCTAAATTTCAACAAGATCTAGTTCCAGACTTCTAGAGGCACCAACATACATTGACTCCAAACACTTCAGTCAGAACTTGTTAACCACATAAGATAAATTACCTGCAAGCATTCATTAAGTGCTTCCAGCATACTCACGGAGATCTCAGTGTCAGGTTCCTAAAAAAGATTTGTTCATGAGCCGTTCAAATATACCAAAACGGGATCAAAGACCGGGAAAAATTAAAAAGCATAGAAACAGGAAAAAAGTGCCATACTGACTTTATGCAGAGCTTCCAGCATGTCTGGAATGATATAATCTGACAGCTGCTTTAGATAGGACAAATCACGACCTTGAGAAATTCCTTTTTCTATGGCCAACTTGGCTGAACGAAGTAACTCCGGCATGGCTGGAAAAACAAATAAATAACCCAATTCATTAGAAAATTATGTTCCATCTATCCAGGAAACTGGAAAATAGAAAAACATGTTTCTGACATACCTGAAACTGCTGCTCTCCTGACTTCCTCATGGAAATAGAATTTAAGCAGTGGAACCAATGTAGGAGCAACCTGAAAAATAAAAACTCACTCTACACACTCACAGTAATATCAACAGATTCAGAAGTAAATCAATCAAACCGACCTGATCGATCCAAGGAAAAAATCCTTCCTTCAATTCATCAGCATAGCAACAGAGCATGTTACACGCCGTGGCTTTTTCCTCCAGCACACTAGTTTTGATCCCAATTCTTTTGTCCCCAAGGATTATGGTCTCCATACTGCATCGACAGATGAGATTAACCCAAAGATATATAGAAGACTAAATCACACTACCTATTATATCTCAATACGGGTTCGATGTCCCAATAATATTATAGATATACAAAGTTACAAACACAGGCTGGATCGCCAACAACACTAATCTGGTTTGACAGAGAGATCATGCCATTTTGACCAAATGAAGCAAAATCTTCAAATTTTTAGATCCAAAAGCATAGCAGTTTACAAAGTCGGAGCGTATTTTAACAAAAAGGACGACCGATATATAGAAGCATGTATCCCAGAAACTTGAATCATCAGATGAAATTTCGAGAAGAGTGAAAACCTTTCATCATCAGAATCCTCAGCTTCATCTTCTGAATCTGCAGATGTAATCGTCACATCTGGTTTAAGTTGAGCTGACTGAAGTAGAGAAGGCATAACAATACTCATATACGGGAGGAAATCTTGTCCTAGACATTTGCATAGTCTAGCCCATGCCTGTAACAATGTAAAGCAAATATGAGCAATGGTACAATGAGCATGGAGGTATTGCATATA